GCTCTCTCCACGTAGCTTTCGCTATGGAACTAGAACAGCTTCCTAGGATGCCTGCTGGAAGGTATGCAATGGTCATGTGGGAGACAGAAATTACATTATTCATTCTGAGGAAAATCCTAGGTGGAAGGAAAAAGGTGAGGACTTTTTGCATTTTGATAGATAGAGGACAGAGTGATTGCATGAGGATGGGGATCTACACATACACACACACACACACACACACACACACGCACACACATTTTTATTTACTGCTGTCAAAGCCATAAAATGTGGATATATGAGCATTATAACTGTGCCAGACCTTGATCTTATAGTTACACCATGTACTAATCCATGAACATGATCAAAATTAGGTTGTCTCTGCAAGTTTTGAAGTATTCCAGCATCACCTCAACATGCGCTTTGTTTAAGAAAGGCCACGTTTGGAAATAGTCAAGTATAACTGTGCAATACTGCAATAGGAATTGTTCTACATTCAAGAGAGAAGCCCACGAAAACAAAAGGCAATAAATCATTAGATTAATTTCATCTGTTTCTAAATCCCATGGCTTCCATCTCATTATATAGTGCATTTTGATAGATAGGGACCTGCCATCATTCACTAAGGAAAAGACACATTTATTTACTGGTCATCCATGTGAAGGAAAGCAAGTGAATGACGATGACAGTCAAATTTCTTGGCTGAATGGGCTGCTGTCAGAGCCAATTCCTCTGAGTGTCTGTAAAACACCTTTTAGACAGCCTCACAGTTCAGTGGTCAAATGCAGATTTTATCAGACCTTCCAAATTCTGGGATTTTTTAGTAAAACAATAAACAAAAGCAATGCTCTAGGGAGAGCCATGATTTTGTTCAAAGTATACAAATTATACTTATTTTCATTCTAATATTTCCTCAAACACCCACTTTAATTTATACTTAATAATTCAACACAGGTAAATGAACACATCAAATGTTGTGTATGCTCATATGTAAATGTGACAGGCATATCCACATATAAATTTCATGACAACTGTGATGGTTGGTGTTTTCTCAAAATTAAGAAGTATGTTTATCTAAAATGAATTACCTAATTAGTCACACAAGCATAAAGCCCAATTTATGATTTTTTTCAAATGCAACTTCATTTTTTAACACCATCTTTATAAAAAATATATTTTTCTTGATTTCAGAAAGGAATAGAGAGGGAGAGAGAGATAGAAATATCAATGATGCCGAAGACGGTTTGGCTCAGTGGTAGAGCGTCGGTCTGTGGACTGAAAGGTCCCGGGTTCGATTCCGGTCAAGGGCATATACATGGGTTGTGGGCCCATCCCCGATAGGGGGTGTGCAGGAGGCAGCTGGTCGATGTTTCTCTCTCATCGATGTTTCTAGCTCTCTATCTCTCTCCCTTCCTCTCTGTAAAAAATCAATAAAATATATATTAAAAAAAAAAGAAACATCAATGATGAGAGAGAATCATTGATTGGCTGCCTCCTGCATGCACCACACTGGGGATTGAGCCCGCAACCAAGGCATGTGCTCTTGACCAGAATCGAACATGGGACCCTTTTGTCCACAGGCTAACACTCTATCCACTGAGCCAAACTGGCTAGAGCTTTAACACCATCTTAATAAGCATCTGAATTGTACTCTTCCTTTTGTGATTTCCCCCCCAGAAATCTAAAAAGCAAAAGAAGAAAGTCCTTTCCCTATGCTTTGACATGCGTAGTCATTCTTTCCAGAATTCTCTCAGGCTGTGGTTTCCTTGAATTTATGTCACACCTCACATCTCCGTTAACTGGCACACAGCAGAATTTATGAACAAGTGGCTTTCTTAAAAGTCACATATTTCTTTACATTCAAACAAGGATATAATTTAAGGCAAAAAGGTAAATTGGCTACTACTCGGTATGCTGCCTTAGAAATGGCCAAACAAAACACTTGTTCAGTGTTCACTCGTGTATTACACAAACAATTACTGAGTCCCTACACACCCTGTGGTACATGTCCTGCTGGCATTCAAACATTTTAAAGCCATAGATAACAAAAGCAGAAGGTATAAAGCAATAAAAGTGACCTAAGAAATGAATAAACCAAGTATTATAGGTCTTTACAATCTTCATTTCCAATGAATAAGGCATTCTGCAACCTAGAATTTAGGACAACCCACAAAAAAAGGTTTCATTCATGAAAAAGCCAAGTTACCATTACCAAACTTTCACTTTGGGAGTCTGGAAAAGTTATGTATGATCATACTCCCAACATACAATCTAAACATGCAAGCCCCTTTCCTTTGGCCAATCTTTAAAATTTCACATGTATTGGGTTTTATTTCATGAGATGGTTCTTATTCTTTCATGAGGTTTACATACTTGTAGGAAAAATTTACCGGAGTTGTTCCTAGTAGGGAGTGAAGGTGAGGGAATGAAAGAATAATTGTATTTGATGTGAGGAAGACAGAGATGTGCTATTACTTTATTTTAGTCCCATCTACCCACTTGATAACTTCTTTTCTTTCTTTCCTGTACCACTATCCTTGCACCCAAATCTGTTAGTATTTAAATGGCATACAAGTAGGGTAGCTAGCAAAAAGCTTGGGCATGTTTCTTAATCTCTCTGACTCTGTTTCCTCTTCAGTAAAATGGCTAAAAATACAATGTCTGGCAGGCTATCAGTAAATTGGCTAGTGTTGGGCTGATTATATGAACACAGATTCCATATAAACTATTGTCCCAACACCCAACTAAATCAAGAACACTGATGTTCCTGTCACTGTTTCTCTAACTCTAAAATGGGACTAACTTCAGGGTCATCCTAAGAATTAATGAGATAACATATACAACATTTCCTTATATAAATAATTTGTGGTATTTTCTCTTTGGTTTTCTATTTTAGGTGCCTACACATAAATTTCTGTGGTTGCTGGATTATGCAAATAATGGTAATCAGAAATCACCTGGGGGTAGTACATTAAAGGACTTACATTGAAAATGAAACAACTATTTTGAAACAGAGACAAAATCTTTAATATTCATACAAATCTCCAGCCATAAAGAGAAGAAATACTAAATTTACTTATTAATCATATAAGATCCTTTAAGGACTTTAGAACTGGGAACAGTTTCATCTTAGAAGAGAGTTGCCTGAGAGAATGCAGGAATGTCTAGTACCCTGATTCTGCTATAGCCCTTTATGTGTCTCTCATGAATATTTTTCTTGACTGAATATACTTTCTTGTACTTTTCAACCTTAAATTATATAAAAGCAAACACATTTTTATTAAGAGAGCAGTAACACATTCCAGGATATATATTTATAGTCCTTATAGTCCCCAGCTCTGAAATCATACACTACCACTAACCTCCAGAAACAAACCAGTAACCAGTATTAATGTGAGACCTGTAGTCCTGTTGTGAAACATGACCTTCATGTTAACACAGATGTGCAGAGTGGCCTTCGTTCAAAGCAAGTGTGAAACAGGAGGAAACAAGACTATCACTGAACTTGCACAGAGAAAATATAAAATTAATAAGGAAAAAAAGCCTTCATGTAAAATTCTTTTTATGAGTAACTAGAGGCCCGATGCATGAAATTCGTGCAAGGGGCTTGGCCCTCACAGCAGTGGCAGTTGCCTTGGCCCTCTTAGCCATGGCTTCATCTGGAGGGACATTCAGGTCATTCAGCTGCCCGGTCTAATTAGCATATTACACTTTTATTATTATATATTATTATTTTCTAAGACTGCCAAATACATGGCTATGAAATTGAGGAGATTTTTTAATGCTAACATTTTAATTATTTATACCTAAATCACATTTGGTGTTGTTCAGCATTCTACAATTAGGAATCTAAATTATTTTTCTATCTCTAGAGTTAAAATTCAGGATCTGGGAACACTGTCCTGACTTTTTTCTTGTTGATGTTTAATTATTATACAGAATAACAATAATCAGGCAATGGTCAACTTCCTTCAACTTTCTAAGGTCTGATTTTAATCTTTAGCTATTAACCATGGAGGATATTCTGTTTAGAAAGTTTGTTACAGGTGTATTTTCCTTTGTGATCACCACCAAAGTATGTGGTGGGGGGGAAATAAAGGCACATTGCTCTGGCCTTACAGGTCTACAGTGTATATTCCCATGGGGAGCACCTCATGGAAATTCATCCTCAGCTGGCTCCAAGGCTACTGTACACATTGTACAATCCAAATAATAGCTGTTCCAGACAGCCCACTTGAAGATTAGTTTCAAGGGACCAAAGTACAACTCTCATTATCATCACTTTCTTTCCAAAATCAACACTTCAAACAGGAAAGTGAAGTAGGAGGAAAAAGCAAATCCATGAATAATTTGCCAACCACACTTCTTCCCTAAACAGTTAAGAGTCTGCCATAAGGCAGGTCTAAATTAAAACAACCTAGATGAAAACAGATGGCGCTTTGTCATTTTCCTGTCTGATGTGAAGATCCAGTTAGGGAAGGGCTTGTCATTTACAAGTCCTCTTATTCTGTAATACAGATAACAAGAACAACATTGCTTCCATCCTCCCGCCATCCCTCCTTCTCTTCTTTCAGTCTCTCCTTTCTTCCTTCCTTCCTATCCATTTACCTGTCTAACAGGTAAAATATTACATCCTCCACTGTTGATTCTAAGTGCATTCGATTTACAGCATGACCCAGCAAGTAAATAAACAGTCTGTTGAGTGAAGCAGAATTAAGCATCCAGCCACAGACAGAAAGTCAATACAATACAAATGGGACCACATGGTATTGGCAGCCATTGACATCTGCATGCAACTGCTTAACTACTATTACTCATGCGTCTCTCCAGATACAGTTTGTAATCCTATCTCTCAGTGGCTCTCGCTATTTGGTTTCCACATTAGGCATGATAAATGCATTTTAGAAACTGACAGTAAAAGATTAATACGCTCATAACCATCAAAGAGGACCTTTCACTGATTTCAAAGAGCTTGCCCTCCCTTCAACTGCCAACCACTACCCCATCCAATTATTACTTACTCACGAAGGCTTCCTCATCCGTTGGCAAACGCATTGACATGCAGAAGTATGTATCAGACTATTAAAGAAAGAAAGACAAAATTCAAATTAAATTGCTGCTAGTGAGTAAGAAATAACAACTAGTCAAAGCATAGGCTATATGACAGGTGAAGTTGCCTGCCACACACTGGGTGCCGGGTTCGTGAAGGGGCTAATTGTAGAACTTAGGTAGTCTAAAAGGTTTTCTAAGACTCTTCAAATCCTATTTATAAAACCAATTATCATGAGCAATATTTCTAGTATGTCGCAGTTAAAAGGCAACATTTTAGATGCTTATGTGAAGAGTGATACAATTCATTAATGCATCTAATTTTAAAATGATAGAAAATTGGTTTTGAACATATCTGCTATTTGAAAAATTAAGGATTTAATTTCCTGATTCACTTTACAATGTTCCAAATGTTAACTAGAAAAATACAATGAGTAAAAGTTGTTGTTAAAATATATTATATTTGGTTGTTCTTCCTTATTTTAAACATTTTATGTAGTTTATTAAAGAAATCAATATTAATTCAATTATTCTTTCTTTTCAAGTTATTGGTCTTTTATCTAAATGGCTACTTTCTTGCTATCAAATGTATTAACATCAAGAATTTTTAGTGATAAAAATTGCAATTTAAGGAGAATGAGCTTCTTTTGATCTATGCATTCCTCTTCCTTAACGGAAATCCATATTCAGTGAAGTATGTGCTATGGTTGCTAATATACCAAATACAAATATAGACAACTCATTTAATAATTCATACTTCATGGATTATCACTGCACTGTGCTGGATCAAGAGACTACACAACATGAATAGATATAATTTGGATTTCTCTAAACCTACTGGCACCAAAAGATTGCAGAATTGTATCTCTTATTTTTTCCCCCTGTGTTGGGAGACAGGGAGGTTCAAATACACATCAAGCAAGTATATTATAATTTGAAAAATTATAGAAATATAACTCAGTCTTCATTTCTATTTTTGTATATGCCATTTTGTTTCTCAACTGAACAAACTGTTTCATTTCTTAAAAGACTTCATAATTATTTCAATTCACTATTATTTTGCTAAGAAGGAAATGTACTGGGAAATGTCGAAGTTTCACAGTAAGAAGGTTAAGCCACATAAATACAGATGTGTACTGTGTATCTAAAACCCACAGAATATACAGGCAAAATAATGTTCAAAGATCTCACAGTCATGTACAAGACTGCTCATAAATATTTTCCAACCTCTGAGTTACTAATTTACAAAATATTCCTACACTGTTCTAACAACAATAACGAAAGAATAAGCTAAGATTCTTTTCTATGTGCTTACCCTCGGCCATAAATAAATAACTACTGCAAGATATTTTGTGGCTACTATAGCTGCTATTGTTACCATTACTATTTCTAGCGAACAATTATTGAATGCTTATAATGTGCCAGGCATTGTTCTCAATGTTTTATTTGTATTATATCATTTAATAAATAAAGCAATCTAAATGACAGATATGCAGTATTATGAACTCCACTGTAGATATACTAAGAATGACAACATTAATTGAGAGCATAGTATGTGCCACTACTGTTCTAAGCACTTTACATGTATTAATTCTTTTATTCTTTAAAATACAATCTTATGATATAGGTAATATTGTTATACCCATTTTAGAGATGAGGAAACTGAGGTAAGCCATGGTAAAGTAATTTCAATTTGTTCTAACCCAAACCTGACAATAGGCAGATAGGCTTCTAAACACCCTTCTTATTAGTGCAGTTACTTAAGGAAGCTGGCAACTAATCTTTTCTCTGTCTCTGAGATCTAAAGCTTCTACCACCTGGAACTGTCTTCTCACACTTAAAGAAGTACTTCTGCTGATTCTCAGCCACTGAATGCCTTGTTCTAACTTATATCGCTGCTTCCTCTCATAAAGATAGGACAAGTTTGTTATTCCTCTGGTTAAGTGCCAAGTCACATGGACCAATTACCCCATCACCCATCAGTCCCTATCTCTTAACACATCCAGCCTTTAAAAGGTCTCTGTCGTTTGTGTCAGCAAAGTTTAGTTCAGTTCACATTTCTTCCCTATTGCAATAGTTAACATTGCAGAAGTCTGCCTTTACCATTTTAGTGTCCACCTAGTTTACCTTTGACACTAACAAGAGCAGGAGCTGGGATCTGAACATCAGTAGTCTGACTAATAATGCATTAGAAATCATTCAAAGCACTGTGAACAATTAATGACCTAAAGGCAAATATAAAAAGAGTAAATTTAAAGTAGAAAACTTTATACTTCTAACAAGAAAGGATCCAAAGGTTGCAATGTAATGCAAACCAAATAGAGGTTGTTTTAAATTTGGACTAATAGATTTTGGTTTTATTTTATCTTTGATTTTATTATAAGCCACCTCAAGTTGTTTTTGGAATAGACAAGTTATATCCATGAAATCCAGCAAGTGGATTCTTTTGAGATAAGAAAAGAACAACTAAGCACAACAATGATTACACACATAAAACAAGGGAAACTACTACTTATATTGAAAATTGATCTGATCCATATTATAATTCTTGTTCTTATCATCAGCTAAGCAATTTAAAATGACAAAATACATATGTAACACCTTAATCAATAAAGAAAAATTTAAAAAATAATAAAATGACAATAACATGGGAATGTCTTCAAACAGTTTGTATTTCTTGGTTTATAACTTTTGAATTAATGAGAGTGTGTTCAGATTTCAATGGTTTCTTTACTGTTATGCTAAAATCAGTTTAAAGAAGAAAAAAAAAGAACAAAGAAAAGGCACTGGCTGTTGTGGCTCGGTTGGAGCATGTCCTGTACACTAAAAGGTCTCAGGTTCAATTCCTGGTCAGAGCACATACCCAGGTTGCAAGTTCAATCCCCGGTAGGGGCATGTAAGGGAGACAACCAATCTACATTTCTCTCTACATTCTCTCTCCCTCCCTCCCTCCCTCCCTCCCTCCCTCCCTCCCTCCCCTTTTTTCTCTCTCTCCAATTCTTCCTTTTTCTCTAACTGTCCGTTTTTCTCTCAAATCAATAAACACATATCTTCAGATGAGAAAAAGAATAAGAAGAAGCGATAAAGGAGATACTCTGCAGAACAACTAGTCTACAAAATTATTTTGCAAGAGCAAAGTCAATACCATTATGCTCTGATTGAGTATTTTACTCATGAGCCATTTTTCAAGATGAAGACTAATTCTGTTAGAAGAAAAAGAAGTAAAACTTTTTTTTAAAAATAAGTACATTAAAGATACAGTGTGGCCCAGCTGGTGTGGCTCAGTGGTTGAACATTGACCTATAAACTAGTTTACAGTTTGCTTCCCAGTCAGGGCACATGCCTGGGTTGCAGGCTCCATCCCTGGTGGGGGAGTGTTGGAAGCAGCTGATCAATGATTCTCTCTCATCACTGATGTTCTATTTCTCTCTCCCTCTCCTTTCCTCTCTGAAATAAAAATATATTTTTAAAAAATACAGTGTGTATCAAATCAATAATTAGCCTTCAGCTGAAAGCTCTGAAGACCACAGTTCAATAGATCAGGGACTAGTCAAAGGTATTTAATTATTTTTTCTACAACTGTAAAAAGTACCAATAATTTTGGTCTGGAGTATTCCAGTTCCATAGTTTGGTTTCCAGAATGAGGTTGAGAGCTCAAGATCCAGAAGCTCAAGATCCATGTAAAAAAGATACACTCTGAAGGGTCATTTACATGGCACAACTGGAGAAACCTGCTCTTAAAGCTGCTGCAGGGCCAACTTCTGTCTGTCTCTCTCAGACTGGCTGAGTATGAGTGAGCACTCTTTTTTTTGTTGTTGTTCACTTTCTTCTCTCAGTTTTTCCCTGAATGGTTTAACAGGAACTGCAACTTTTTTTTTTTTTTACAGAAATGGGAACTAATTCACAGAAATGTTTCTGATTTACCAAAGGCCACCCAGGTAAGTAGTGTAAGAGTTGGGAATAAAAATATTTGAGTTTATGCCTTCATGACTATTACAGATAATTATATATCTTTTTTGACACTTACTAAAATTTTTTTAAAAAATTTCAATTACAGTTGATATTAAGTATTATATTAGTTTCAAGTTTTAAACTAATTAAATTGCGACTCTGGAGAGTCTTTCTACCTTCATACCTCTGTTTATATAACTGATGAGACTACATCCTATATTTTAAATAAAATTTCATGCTCATTAATACAGATTTATTTCTATAGCATGTCACCATGAAGAGTATTTAAATTTAAATTTTATGCTATAAGCAGTTGGTTTAAGAATTTAAGACTATAATAATGTGTTATCACATAGTTAACTACCACCAACCCTGAGAATGAGAAACACACACACACACACACACACACACGCGCGCGCACACAGACACACACACACACACACACACACACACACACACACACTAAAGCCTCGTGAGGCAACAATATTAAGAAAAGCAGAATGATGCATTTTTCAAAGTAATAAATTCATCACATCACTAATATGTGCAAATAACCAGTTGTGTTTTTCTTTTTTGCAAGATAAACACCAGGAACAATATTTAACAATGTCCTGATCAGGTAAATATGACCTCACAACTTCCATCATTCAACAAGATAAAAAGATTCAAATCATTTAAACATATGATGGGTGCTTAGCATATGATACCTTGAGGGAGAACCCTGATTGTGCCTCCTATTACAATCTAGAAGATTTCCATCATAATTATTTCCCATTTTAATGCCACCAAGTAGGTATTACTGACACTCATTTAAAGATGAAAAAAAACTTAAGTTCAAGAAGACAAATAAATTGTTTGTGATTTAAAAAAAATTCTGGAAACGGATGAAATGGAATTTGAACCCAGTTCACTACAGTACTTCTCTTTCCACTATGGGAAGACAGATATTAAAAAGGGGGGAGAGGTAGGCAGAGAATAATCAAAGAAGTTATATGTATGTATGCATAGTCCATGGACACAGACAATAGTGTGGTAAAGGCCTGAAGTAGGGCAAGAGCCAGGCGGGGGTGGGGAGCAAC